ATATTTAGTAATGATATATATATATGTATATATTTAGTACTTAAGTACAACAGAGAGCGCAACAATCGCTCTAAAAGATAAATAGATAAACCACTCTATAAAATGAATATATCACGATTATATTTGTGATATGCAAAAAATGAATACATTCTGTTTAGCATTTGTAATTTATTAGTGCTGTCATTTATTATTTAAGTAATAAAGCATAGTTCAAAAAAATTTCTTGATAATAAAATTATAATCAAACAATATGCCCGTTGATATACTTGGATATATATATGCCGCTACGGTAGCGGCTGGAGGTATAATGGGTTATGTAAAAGCGCGTAAGTTTATATATTATTAAATATTATTTTATTTTGTATATAAATATTGGTACTATTAATATTTATAAAATTATTTATGTAGTTTTTAATTGATTGCTTTATATATTTGTTTCTTTACAATTTTTAATTCAGAGATAATTAAAAAATTTTTATAATAAGAACAAAATTATTTCATTTTTTAAAGAGTCAATTCCTTCTTTGGGTGCTGGACTTATTTTTGGATCTGTTTTGGGTTATGGAGCTTATCAAACTTCTCAAGATCCTACAAATATTGGACTTTCTATAGCAGCAACTTCTGTTCTTGGGGGACTTATGGGTTATCGTTATTATAATAGTGGTAAATTAATGCCAGCTGGAATAATTGCTATATTTAGGTACTATTTTATATAATTATATTCTATATATATATTTTATATATAATATAATAAAATTAATTTAATAAAATTAATTTTTTTAGTTGTGTAGCATTAATAAAAACAGTTGTCAGATCTTTTTCTGCAGTCCAAGTAACTGAAACATTAAACAAAGAAAGTAAGAATATATACGTTTTTAATAAATATTTTTATTATTAACAATTTTATTAACTAAAATATTTTAAATACATAATTATAATATACATAATTTTTGTAATGTAATAGGTTAATAGAAGAAACAAAATCTATAAAAGGAGAAGAGGATAGAAAATATACTATGGATTTTAATAATTAAAATAACTGGAGAGTGTGATATATCTAAATTTCAAATTTAATTCCAATGTTTGAAATCTTTTTCCATAAATGGAAATTGTCTCTATACAAGAATATGATTTATATTTATGTTACAAAAATATATATAATGTTTGAATATATATTTCAATAAAGTTATTTCAAACATTATTTTGTTATTTATTAATAATTAAAAATTATTATTAAATAAATTATAATTACAAAAATTCATATCATTTATATTTTTTCTGAATCATTTCTTTATAACATTAAAGATTGAAAGTTAATTTTTAAATTTTCCTGTTTTTATCTATATATTTGTTTGTATTTAAACAGTTAATTAAATTTCAAATTCAACGATATAATATTATTTTTTCTAAAAAAAATATATATTTCAATATTATATTAAAAAAAATTTTAATTTTTTATAATTTTAATAATTGTAAGAAATTTCAATAATTATAAAATTATTATTATAAATAAATTATTATAAATAATTTTAATATAAATTTTAGTAAAATTTCAATTATATATCTTAAATGTTTTAAGCTTTGTCCGCAATATATTTAAATTCTAATCGATTGTAATAATCGAAAGAAAAACTCGAAGTTCGAGTTATAAAATCGAATATGCTTCGCATTGGATGCTTTTACGAACCTTTCCGGGAGCTCTTGCTCGGTGGTGTGTCCGTGGGAGGAAGTTCTGCGGTTCCACTAGGTTTTTTCGAGATTTTTTACGAAATTAAATACGAATTACGAGTTAATCGACAGGCGTATTAATGTTCTCTCGTAACTCTTAAGCAGTTACGATTGAACAAACGAATGTTCTTTTTCGATATTTTTAACGGGGAATCGGTCGCGAGAGAATCCGACAGGCACTGGTCACAACACGAACGAAGCTTCAACTTTCATCGATCGATTTGACTGATTTTTGAGATCCAGTCACCGAAAACTTCCATCATTCCGTCAAAAACCGAGTGCCGACCCGCAGGGTGGCGATCATTTGATAAGGTATGTATATTAATGCATATTTGATATTGTCTTCCGAGTACATCTTGCATGCTGTCACGTGAAAATTTTAGTTATCGATGAGTCACAACGTGGTCTTTGTAAAGTTTGTACAAGCTTCTTGTCATGCAATATGTTTAATAACAGATTAAATATTATTATACTGATAGATGATGATTTTTTAAAATTATTCTCGTAGAATATTTCCTTATTATGCACAATTGTTTCGTCAATTTTTCGTTGTAATTTTTCCATTATTTTTTATTCTATATTTCATTATCCTTTTCTCTTTTCTAAAATTAATTGATTTGAACCCAAATTATTTATTTAATATAATAAATATTACCACACAATAACAGAACTTATTTTGCAAACATTGTATTATCTTGTTACTTGCTAACATTATGTTTGCGGAGCAGTTTGTATTTCGATGCTATGTTATTTTAAAGTTACTACTACCTAAGTCGGCCTGATATTTCCTGCATAAACTAGTAAAATTATACTGAAATGTAACAATTTTATTTAAAAATTTCACTTTATCAATCAAGAAAATTTTTTATTCAACAGTGATATTGTAAGTATTATTGGATTGACATTTTTTTTAAATTGAATATTTTGTTTTAAATAATAATAATACATAATTTTCAAATAATATCGTATTTTTATTTCAAATAAAATAGACAATATGTTATGTTTTTTATATTTTTTAATACATATTTTTTAAATGAAATATACTAAATTGTTTTGATTTGCTATAATTGATTATTTTAAAAACTGAATATTATTAAATTATCTTATTGAAATTAATTATTTTATAATTTTTAATATAATTAGTACTTAATAAGTTGTATTTTTTAAAATTTATATAAATTTTAAACAAATTTTGTTATATAAAATTAATATCTTTTATATTATATTTTAATAAAAAAAGTGTTCGCCTAATTAGAAGTACTATAAGTAATAATGATGTAATATAATGATATAGCATGTACCTGTATTTTAACTATGAATATATTACAAAGATATTATCAGCTAAATGTCAACTGATTGTGATAAATGGTTGTAATCTATAATTTTCAACAGCATAGCACATAGATTAAATATATTATTTCCATGCCCCCCAATGAAGACATGATCTCTAAATGGCTTGTGCATTACCCCTCCATATTCAATTGGAACTGTGTAAACCATGTATTCCTTGGCCGTCAGATAAGCTTTGTTCCATGAAGTAGAGTTAGTACCACGCAAAGGCTGCCTGATAGTACTTATCTTTCTCATATAAATAGTGGTTCAAATAGTTAGTTCAGGTTCAGTATTTTCCTGTGCTCTTGATTGTTTATAGCACTTGTTACATTGACCACATTTTGAGCTATCACAAGAAAAAAAAGTATATAGTTTTATTTTTTATTATTGTTCCTTTTAAATTATTACAGAAATAGTCATTTTATAAAGAAATAAAAGTTTTCCAAATTTTGATTCTATTAGTTTTATTGCTATAAAGTTTTATAAAAGCTACGAGAATTACTTTTAAAAATCAGGTAAGTGTGTAATCTCTTTTTTTAAAAAAAAGTTATATTTTTTTATTGAGATAATTATATCATTTTAGACTAATAAATATACTGATTCAAAAAATGTTATATTTAAAAGTATATATAAAAAAATTTATTCAAATAAGTTTTAATATATTATTTAAAAATTTATAGAAATTAATATAGAATTTATAAAAATATTTTATTTTTATGTGGTCAGGTTTAATTTCATATCTTCTGGTAAAAAATTCATTTAATTAATACTGATAAAATTTGATAAGATAATTTTGGGAGTGCAAGAAAATATATGACATGTGCTACTATATGTATTGATAGGTACAGATTTAATTATAAGTATATGTTTGTATATTGTATATTATTTCTCCAAAAGTATAAATATAGTTTTATATTTAGTATGTTTTAGTACATTAAGTTTTACTTATATTACTTTATTTTTATTTGTTATAACTTTTACTTATATTATTTTATTTTTATTTGTGTTACTTTCAAAATTTATATCATAGACAAATCTATATAAATAATCAATGTGATTATAAAAATATAATTTTTTATGTTATATAAAATGCATTAATAAAGATAAATCAATTAATAGACCATTTTTTTGAAATTTAACTTTAATCCAAAAATTTTCATAAAAATTATATTTAGTTATTAATGAATTGTCAACTTGACTTAGAAATTTTTTTAAAAGAAAAAATTATTGTAACATTATTATAATTATTCTACATTATTATTATAATATTTTAATAATATTTTAATATTTAATTGATTGATTAATTTTTAATAATTTATGCAAATTCATGTATAAAAATTTTTAATATATGAAAAAATAATCAGAAATGTTTTTTAAATTTACATATTTGTAATTGTTTTATTTTGTTAAAATATGATATAGTATAAAAGGATAAAATACTAATGTTATAATATATAATTTATTCGTTGCAGGGTTCTATCTGCAATAGACTGGTAGGCCAGTCTATTGGTGGGTGCGTAGATAACTGCGGCAACTGGAAGTTGGCCCTGAACGCAGAGCCCCCGTGGCTTTGCTAGCACCCCCATAGTGATTTTGTCTTAACCCGCCTCCTCACGACTCACCCAATTCTCATTGACAGCTGCCTCGTATGTATAATGTAGTATATTATGAATAAATAACAAAATATTTTATAATGTAATGTGTTTTTTAATTTTAGTTTGCTGCCTAGCGCCTACAGAGTATCTTTTAAAAACTTAAAAACAATAAAATAAACAATATGAAGGTAACAAATCTGGACGAACGTATTCATGTCTTGGACAGTGCGTCAAATGTTATGACCGTCATCAAAGATATTGCATTGAGTGGATTGCAAGAAGAAGCTTTTTATGTACTTGATATTGGAGATGTCGTACGTAAACATCAAATATGGAAAGAAAAAATGCCACGCGTCAGTCCTTATTATGGTAAAATACTTATTAAATATTATGTTTTATTTTCTATTATAAATTTCAATTAATTATAGAAATTAATTAATTTTATTACAAAATTTCAGCTGTAAAATGTAACGATAATTTAATTGTAATTGAGGTACTGGCTGCTCTTGGTATTGGTTTCGATTGTGCGTCCAAAGTAAGTAATCTAATACCTTGTCATTGTATATTATTGATAATAGATATACCAGGTAAATAGTCTAACTTATTCTAACTTAAGTCTAACATTTCTATTATTCATTGTTATTTATAGTCTGAGATTAACAAAGTACTAAGTGTTGGAGTAGACCCGTCGAGAATTATCTTCGCTAATCCAGCTAAACCGGCATCACATATCCGTCATTCTGCTGCTGTTGGTGTCGACGTTATGACAGCAGATAATGAAAGCGAATTACATAAAATTAAAAACTTCATCCAACTGCTAAGGTAATAGAAAATGTTTCATTTTTCGTTATATTTTTCTATATGATTATAAATTTAATTCAATTATAATTAAGTTATAAATTTAATTTAATTTATTTTTTTTCTTTTAGGTTGTTATTAGAATTCGTTGTGATGCTGAAGTTGCTCAGTGTCAATTAGGTATGAAATTTGGTTGTGATCCTATATTCGAAGCACCCAATCTTTTGCGTCTTTCACGTGTATTAGGACTCAATATCATTGGTATTAGTTTTCATGTTGGATCTGGTTGTCAAGATCCACCAGTATTTTATCGAGCTATACGCCATTCTAAGATATTATTTGATTTAGCAACAGATCTTGGTTTTAAACCATATTTGTTAGATATTGGAGGTGGTTATCCTGGAAATAAAGGTTCTAGTATTGATAAAATTGCTGATGTTGTTAATGAAGCACTTGATGAATACTTTAACAGTAAGTAATATTTATTTATTTTATTATAATATTTTACATTATAACAAATTTATTATTTTTATTTATACAATTTTTAGCTGATGCTGTTCATGTAATTGCTGAACCTGGCCGTTTTTATGTTGCCTCAGCATTTACACTTGCAACCAGCATTCATAGCAAACGTTCAGTACGTGGCGATGAAAATTCACCAAATACAATTACGCACAATATGTATTATATTAATGATGGTGTTTATGGATCCTTCAATTGTTTACTTTATGATCATCAACATGTAATTCCAATACCTCTAAAGGTAATCATTATTAAAAATTATGCTATTTAAAAATATTATTTTGTAGATTATTAAATATTAAATTCAAGATACTTAACATTAAATATATTAAATTCAAGATATTTAACATTAAATATTTCAATATTAATAATTAAGATTGTGGAAAGATGAATTGTTGTCAATAATAAACATTTTAACAGAAAGGTTGTGGAAAGATGATTCCCTCAAGTATTTGGGGACCAACCTGTGATGGTTTGGATCAAGTTGTTGAAAATGTTCTATTACACGAAATGGATCTTGGTGATTGGATAATTTTTGAAAATATGGGGGCATATACATTGCCAGTTGCTTCTCCATTCAATGGATTCCCTGTACCAAAAGTTCATATTGTTGCTGACGAAAATATTTGGTAAGAAATTATATAACATACTTTATTATATTTTATTTGATTATATTTATTATATTATATTTTATTATTATATTTATTTCATTATATTTTTTAATTGCAATTATGTTGTTCAAATAATAAATATAAAGCTTTTGGTTATTATATTTTGCAGGCATTTATTAAAAGATGCTTTACCTTTGACTGAAGAACATTTTGTTATTGGCAATACTCCAGCTAATTTACGACTTGGTTTGGATATCGGTGGAACTGACACTAATGCATGGCACAATTCAAATATTGCATTGACATCAACTCAAATTTTAGCTGACGTTACTAATCCACCATCATCATACTTTTACGATTATCTTGAGGTTGATCTTTAATGCATACATATTATAATAACAACAAACTTATTGAAACAATTATTCGGCATTTCTAATGAGAAACCACATTTTCATTTCTCATTTAGAATCTTATGGCATAACTTAAAAAATTAACTATTTTTTTTAAGTTTTTGTGTTGAGATTATGTATTTTATAATATTTATCTTGATTAGTTTAAAAACCACAAAACGTTATATATATGTTTTTATTCTATTTAAGATTTGCAACATTATTAATATTTAATGCTATAGTTGAAAAATTATTTTTCTTTCATGAAAAGATTAAGAACGTGCAAATTATTTCAATTGCAAGATGATACATGAAATTGCTATTAAAAAATTAAAAAATATCATATATAAATTAAGTTATAAATTAAATCAAATTTTCAAATTATCGTTGAAAAATATCTATAATACCATATTGCATGACAAGTTAAAATATTTGTATATGCTTTTAGAACTATATATTGACTTTTCTATAATTAAAGAAATATTTATTGATTTTTGACATGGATAATTTGCACGTTTAATATAGACGAAAATTTGTCATTTTTATATAAATTATGAGTTAGTAGAAGATTTACCTAGTAAAAATGATAATTATAATTTTCATAACTATTTTTATGAACAATTTCATATTTATGGTTTTATGTGGTTTTTTAATTTTAAACATAAATATTACTTACATAATTTACATGAAATATTTAAAAAACAAAAGTAGTGGTTTTATATAAGGGCTTAAATGTTGAAACATTTGTATATATATGTATTTAAATAGTTTATACATATATATATATAAACTATTTAAATAATCATTGTTATTTAACATGATTAACAACAAGAAAATATAAAAAAAGAAAAAAAAAGTGAGGGAAATGTAACCAATAGCATTGAAGATGACGTATGTGTCCAACATATGTATAATAATGATATAAGCACAAATATTTTATTCTTTTGATTTCATTCATTTCAAACGTGAAATTAATAAACTCTGTAGGATTGCTAGGATCTTTAGGCATTGAGGCAGCTGTCACAGGAAGAAAAGATAATTAGTTTCTTAATTAATTATTACTCCTATTGTATTATATATGTCAACTATTATTATTGTTAATTAATTATTATTAACAAATGAATACATGTAATAAAATATATAAAATCAAATTAAAGAACTTTTAGTTCTTATTCCACCTTTTATTTCTTTATATTTTCTTTGTAGAGATTTATATACCACTTAAGTGATAAGTTCAATTGATTAATAATTTACAAGTATGTATTATATAAAATATAATTAAAAGATAAATGTATCTAGTATCTTAACTAAATCTAATAGTATAACTATATTAAACTGATTTAGAATTATCATGGAATTTATTGAAATTAGAAATCTTAAGTACTTTTAGTGTACATTATTGATTAATATATCAGCTAGAAATAGAATTTGTGCGTCAAATAAGTTCATAAAAAAAAAATACTGGTATGCATAGTTTTCTTATTTACACTCTTTTAAATTATCTCTGTTATCATAATCAACTTTATTATTATATAGTTATTATTGTTATATTATTATAAAATATGTATTTAATAATATTTAATAGTATTTAATCTTTTATTCATTACTCTAAATAAGTTAAAAATTTTACTTAAGTTATAGTTAATTATTAATTCTATATTAATTTGTCAATTTTTATATATCTTATTTATATCTTATATATTTTATTTAATTTTTTATTTTTAATTGGTTTCAACTAAAAATAAATATTTTATAATTAAATAATATATATATAATAAATATAAATTAATAATTGAAAATTTTTGACAATATATTATAATACTTTCTGTGATAATCATTATATTGTGTAAAAATCCAAGAATTGATAATATTCACGTACTTCAATAATTTAAGAGCCAATACTGATTGTCAGATTCATTATACGATTTAATAATAGGAACGATAAAAAAAGATTTCTTTTCTTCTCCTTTTTGATTGATTTCGCATTAAGATTATTGCTCGTACCTAATCTGTGATTATAAATAAAAATTACAAGTGTATATTTTTTTTATTTTATAAGAATAAGCGATTAATAGATAGAAGAAATCTAAAATTAATATCAAATAAGTGGATTAATCGAGATAATTAATCAAAAAAAAAAAAGATACATATTCTCTCGAAATGATTATTGATAAAATTTGAAGGTAATATTATCGAATAAAAGAACAATTCGATTATCGCATCATCAATTATCGTTTTACTAAATATCTCGATGTATATTAGATGAATCGAATCGAAGATCTGAATTGGTCAAGGTTTTTGGACAGAATTCATATAGACATCAAGTAATAATTTTCGCTGCGCATTGTGAAAGGTGTACTGTTGTTTTGTTTGCAATATACTGTCTAACCGGATGGTTGCGTAACAATTGCTAATCTTTTCATATCTTATACGCTTTTCCGATACTTCTACTTATGTTTCGATCTCTCATAGAAACATCATTCCATGTCAATAATGATTATTCTTTTAATTAAGTGATCAGCATTTGGTAAAGTAGATAAATTTAATATAAATTTTTTATTTTCTTTGAAAATTTAAATATTTCCAATTAATAAATTATATATTTTAAAAAAAATTATTTATCGATATATTTCGATATTTTGATGCCAAATTAAAAATAATTAATTTTGGTTTATTATGCAATTTTATGTGAAAATTAGTCGAACTAATTGGAATCATTAATTTTATTAATTTCAACTGACTTATCATCTATCCCATTCTTTATTTATTTTACGTTTTTAGATGCTGCTACCTGTGAAAGATAAAATCTTTACGTAAAATAAGGATCGATTACAGAATATCAATCATCAGATATTCTATAACATCAGAATTGGTGATATTTTGATTATAAATCGAAATCAACACTTTTATAATAATTAAAGAAAAAAAATGATAAAGAAGAAAAGTTGCTGAATCATCTACTAGATATTGGAGAATTATAAAATTTCTGTTTCTTACAATACAAAACTATTAAGTGAAATTTTTTATGAAATCATTAGTTTTGATTTCGTAAGATTTTCAAAAATGTTTAGATTGAAAAAAGAAGCATAACAGAAAATGATTACTTTGTATCGATTCTTAAATAGATATTTTATAAAAAATATTCGTCACAGTGTCACAGACAAGTGTTATCAATATGATGAAATAATTTTTCATAACCATCTAAAATAGTATTTAATTTCATTGAGATATTAATAAATGGTTGTGATGTTCATTCAACAAATTATAAATTATTCTTAAATAATATAATTATTAATAATATTATTAATTATTGATATTATTAAATGAAAAATAGGGGGAAAAAATATTTACAATAAGATATTGTATTTATAAAATATAAATGAGAAGATGAAATATGTAAACGTTTATAATAGAAATTAAATACTTTATGAAAAAGAAGTTTTTTTTTTATAAATTTTTTAATATATCAAAATTGTTCTTGTTAATTTCATAAAAATAAATTTTATATATTTTTAATATCTATTTTTAATATCTCTAATTTGATTTATATTAATTACATTTTCTTTTACATAAATATTTTTAAACAATATATATTATTGAAAATTAACAAAATTAAAATACTACCAATTTTCTACAATCCATTATAATTAACGTCACACCATATATTACATAAAGGTTACTTTTAGGAACAGGCAGTAGAAGACATACATGGCACAAACCACGCGTACAGAATGTTGGTCTCGGTGCGTGGATAATCAAAGAGCGCAGAAACAATATCAAGATCAATTACGTAAAAGGAACAGAAAGAAGAAGAGGCTACAAGATTTCTTTTTATTTCATATGTATAAATACCGTTAGCTGTGTATCATGAATGACCCACACTTTCACTTTCGTAATTAACGCAGGTATACCCGCACCTCATGTTTACCCGCCAACCGGCTGGAAACAATATGCGGATTTCCCTATGGAATCAGTCCCGTTCACGGACAAATAATTACTATTTTCGCGTGCAGTTTCGACGAATGGACGACAACAATCTTTAACTATCGTCCTGGCGACTTCTTCATCGTGGACATGGATGTCAAGTCGTGATATCCGCACGCGCGCACCGTGCTGTTGTTCCGGTGTGCAGTTGGTGTAATCGCGGTTTCAAATCCTCATCCGATGTCTGGCATAACATATAATAACAGCTATGATACAAGTACGTTCTATAGACGATTTCACTTTTAGCCAAGAGGCTGCATCCTCGCCTCACCTCTAACAGAGGTTGACTGTCGAGCACGCGCTCTGCGCAAGTCTTCTTTTCCTCTCTTTCCTCTTGCCAACATTCTGTATCTCACATTCGAAGATGTTACGAAGACGATATGAACGATAATAAGCCGCTTTACACGCTGGACCACCATGTTTCACCGTCGAATGTAACGTATCCTTTAAGAATACTTGTGTATATGCGGATACACACACTAATGTAAATATACATAATGTGATTGGCATCGAGTTACATGCTCTCAGCCACGATATATAGGTTCACCGAGTTAAAACAGAAATTAGGAGCGAACCGTGTCCCCTTTCTCTTGCCAAGCCAAGCGTGGTATAAAATACTTTCCCTCTCGCGAGTTGAGTCAACGGCGAAGCGAAGGAGCAAGCAGGAAGGAAAAGCAGGGGCAGCCAGGCAGCTGTGGCTCGCGAACGGAAAACCGGAAAACGATCGCTTCTAATCAAGAGCCTCGAGCGTTTCCCTTCTACTTTGTTCTTTGTCTTTCGCTTTTTATTTCATATGTATAAATACCGTTAGCTGTGTATCATGAATGACCCACACTTTCACTTTCGTAATTAACGCAGGTATACCCGCACCTCATGTTTACCCGCCAACCGGCTGGAAACAATATGCGGATTTCCCTATGGAATCAGTCCCGTTCACGGACAAATAATTACTATTTTCGCGTGCAGTTTCGACGAATGGACGACAACAATCTTTAACTATCGTCCTGGCGACTTCTTCATCGTGGACATGGATGTCAAGTCGTGATATCCGCACGCGCGCACCGTGCTGTTGTTCCGGTGTGCAGTTGGTGTAATCGCGGTTTCAAATCCTCATCCGATGTCTGGCATAACATATAATAACAGCTATGATACAAGTACGTTCTATAGACGATTTCACTTTTAGCCAAGAGGCTGCATCCTCGCCTCACCTCTAACAGAGGTTGACTGTCGAGCACGCGCTCTGCGCAAGTCTTCTTTTCCTCTCTTTCCTCTTGCCAACATTCTGTATCTCACATTCGAAGATGTTACGAAGACGATATGAACGATAATAAGCCGCTTTACACGCTGGACCACCATGTTTCACCGTCGAATGTAACGTATCCTTTAAGAATACTTGTGTATATGCGGATACACACACTAATGTAAATATACATAATGTGATTGGCATCGAGTTACATGCTCTCAGCCACGATATATAGGTTCACCGAGTTAAAACAGAAATTAGGAGCGAACCGTGTCCCCTTTCTCTTGCCAAGCCAAGCGTGGTATAAAATACTTTCCCTCTCGCGAGTTGAGTCAACGGCGAAGCGAAGGAGCAAGCAGGAAGGAAAAGCAGGGGCAGCCAGGCAGCTGTGGCTCGCGAACGGAAAACCGGAAAACGATCGCTTCTAATCAAGAGCCTCGAGCGTTTCCCTTCTACTTTGTTCTTTGTCTTTCGCTTTGACAATCTGTCACTTTTCTTTTTTTTTTTTTTTTTTTTTTCCCTTTTTATTTTATTTTCCCTTCTTAATAAGTTTTTGTTTACAGATCAATGGAAACTAGTTTTCCAGTTCTGGGTCGCGGGACATCAAGAGTGAATCTCTCAGTCTAGAGATTCGATTCGGACAAGTCACGCGAAGTGTAGACACGCTTCCGCCGGCCAAGTGGACTGCAATCTTATTTCTGCAATCGTTTCCTTTTGGAGAGCAAGAGGCAATCTAGTCTGACGGATTCTCATGCGGGAGAATCTGCTTGGAAATGTAACGTGGGAATGAAGGTAGTTTAACGAATTTTATAAATGTTCGAAGCTTGAAAAAAAAATTAATTTTTATTTTTATTTTTAAGAGGAAAATATTTGGGAAACACGAGTCGATATTGAGGATTATTGTTGTATAAATATTGCTCATACTATTATAATAATACATTCATGAATCATGTTGGCCAACAATCGATCAATTTATTCCACGAATTTCTAAACATTATTCAATTTTCAAAAATGCATATCTAGAAATTTTTATACGCGACGATGTTAGCGTTTTGAATGGATCACCGAAAAGAAAATTCGTGGACGATTCTTCGTTCTCGTAACGGTCTGCCAATCAGTTTGTAAATTTGCGTAACACCATGAATATTAAAACCGACAAACATTCGTTCTTGCGAAGAAACATCTTCGATCAGGAACCGTAAATCACCGTTGGAACAACTCAAAATAGATATAAATGTTCACTATCTTCGACCATCTTGCATATATTCAGGTACTTTCTCCATGTACAGTCTTTTTTTCTCTTTTTCTAATTAATCCCAACATAATTCAATCGATCGTAGAAAATTAAAAAAAAAAAAATTACCATCCAACGAATCGTCGGTTAAGAAGATAAACTTGCAACTCGCAAAGCAACCCGGGACGAAGGAGGTGTCAAGCTGATCGAGCATGGTCGTCAAGAGTACAGCCGATCTCCATCAATATCGTCGAAAGGGGGTATGCTCAGGCTCGGAGAAGGACAGCCCCTCTCGACGACTTTCCCGATTTTGAAAAGAGGCAGGTCGGCCAGTGGCGTACCGAATCGAGGCGAGGAGAGCAACCTTCTCCTCTGGTCTCGACACATTCGTGCACACACCGAATAACCGTGCGCTAACAATCACAATCGCCACCAGTGGCGAGTAGTCCCCAGTCCCTGGGTCGTTTCCCCACCTTCCACTTTTGCTACCAACGTCGACGGGTATCGTCTACCGCAGTTAGACCGAGTCCGCTCGCGCATTCGCATTAATTTCCAATCCGCGGTGTGCGCGCTCTCTCTGGCCGGCCTTTCCTCTCCGTTTCGATCGTCGGTCCTCGAGACGGTCTTTCGAGAAGCGGGATCTCTCGGGTCTTGGCGATTTCCGACCACGCGACCGTTATCCGTTACCCGTATTCTAACGGGGCGAATTAACGAAAAACGGTGTCGTCGACGGAAGAGATGCCCGTGGATTCGAGCACCGCGAAAAAATCCCGTACAAAAGGAGAAGGGAACGTCTGACAATCGTAACTCCTAATTCTTCCGAAATTTTTTCTTTTTTTTCTCGTCGACTATTCTCTTCCATTCCATTTTTTTTTTTTTTCAATTCAATTTATAGTAGTATAAAAGATCTTCCTCTCGTGAAAGGAAGAGTCGAAGCAAGGAGAACAAGGAAGAACAGATTTGGTCGTGTCAAAGGATATTTTTATATCGCGTAAGGACGCTATTCGCGGAATATATCGGTGGTATTGGATCGACAGCGAAAGTGCACGTCTTCCGTACGTGCATGGGGTACAGTGCACTTGTGCCAGATACCAACCGCGAGATAGATCATTACTTTTCCGCGGGAAAAAATGCTGGAAAACCGAAGAAAAAGAATCGTGTGATTTTGTCGAGTTAATAACATTATTTTTGTCATTTAGCCTGATTCATGTTTTATTTCAACGAGGCTGTGTGCGTATGTGTTAGATGGATAACTGTTTGGCAGATAGATAGAGATAGGAACAAATTTGATCTTTGTCCTCGTCTACAGAAATCAATTTCGTGTTTCCAGTTTCAGGATACCGGTCGATGAAAACGGTTAATAAAAAACTTGAAAGATAAACGCTTTATTGCCTTATATTAGAATTCGCGGGATTTATTTTAACATCAGGAAGAGGCTGTTTCATAGTCATCGCTAAACATTATTCGGAATGGCGATAAAATGAGACAGGTTTTGGTCTTGTTACAGTGAATTTGTCTTATTTTATGTTTTTCTATAGGTTTTCTTGTGGATTATACACGGATAATTATAATAGTATAATGTCAAATTAAGTTGTTATTCTCAATTTTATTATTCGAATTAAAATTGTATTATTTTAAGATATAAAAACAACAAAAAAAACAATAAAAAATTTAATTCTTTGTAATTTTGTAATTTTGTAATTTTTTTTTTTTTAAATGATATTCACTGATTTAATTAATGCTAACCTCAACAATTAGTCTCACTCGTAATTATGAAAATATAAAAATTATTTATTAATAGTTCATAAAAGCACAAAGAATTGGAAATATATTATTTTTAACAATTTAACAACGAATTATATAAACAAAATATTATTTTTCATAAAATTATCGAATAAAAAAGTTATTGATAATCCATTTATCGAACAATTCATACCGTATTTCTATATAACGTAAAAATACTTAAATATTACAAATTAACAAATTCACTGACACTGTCCTGTTTAAATATTAATGCGAATAACTGTAAAACAAAAAATCTCAACTCTCTCACACCACGATTTAATACCAATAAGCCTCGATCGATTTTCACTTTATAACCTCTTTCATTTCAATCGTTCGCGTTTTGTTTACCGACGAGTCCTCGAACGCTCGTAAAATCGACAGCTACCTGTGCGGCATAACGAGCTATAAGAGAGCAGTCAGCTGCGAATCTTCGCGCGTGACGCATGTTTCGGTTTTTCAGCATACGATTTTTTTATTTTTGCTTCGTCTGCGCATGCATAATCGAATAGATAAATTTTTGGGACAAAAAATGATTGAATTTGAAGGAAGAAATGCATTTTTGTTTAAACTTTCATTATTCTTTAAAAATTAATCTGTTTTTCCATTTTTATTCGTGAACATAAATAAATACGAAGAGAGAGGAAACGAACGTCGAAGGAGCCAGCAGTGTGTTGATGTGCAGTGATCACGAAATTGGTGCGCAACAGAATCACGCTGAAAGTAAAGTCCTTTGAGGAAATCGAAACAAGGTTTACATATAAAATTTGATCTTAACGGCATCAATACGTGAGTTGAATCGGTGAAACGCTTCGTCCTTTCCTCGTCGTGATGACACTGAGGATCTCGACAATGGAAACATGAGGACTCTAGAAGATCGTGCATTCGATCGACGCAGCTCCAATCCTGTCGACCATAAATGACGTAAGTCTTGAATGAATTTTCTTTTTTTATTTTTCGACAGAATATTTCAACAGATTATTATGCACAGAATATTGTGGTTATTCGTGGATTTTCATATTTATTTTATATTTGTTTAATTTTGATACAAACAGGAGAAATTTATGAAATTTATGAAAGAATGAAAGAATGAAAGAATGAAAGAATAATATAAGATAAACTCGGATTTTATTTAACTAAAATATTTTTGAATGTTATGAATAATTACATATTAATTTAAGATTTTATTAAATTTAAGATTTAAAATTAACAATGTTTATTGTTATTTTAATATCTATTATTAGGTTACAGATTTTTCTATTAAAATTTAACTTTTTTCTCAAATTAAACATTTTTCCACTATTTTTTTTCAAATTAATCTTTTTTTTTTCAAATATTATTATTATATATCGAATGAATGAATTTTGAACTCATCGAATTCAATAATACTCGAATATTGTGAAAATTATGTATCAAATCGTGATAATATTTGTGCATGTTCAGAACGAAAATAAGACATACTATAATGAAACATCAACGAAAGAAATCTGTTAGAATTATTAATTTTTGAACAAACGCAAAGTTCGATCCATCATATATAATTAATTTTAATTCAAACGTTTCATTTCATTTTCGTTTCGTAAAAACTGCTATAAACTATTAAAATAAAACTATTGAAGTGTAATACATGTAAAAATTAAGTTTTATATCTTTTCTCTATTTATATCTTTTTTTTTTTACATTGTAAATATTCAATTTATTTGTATGAAATATATCCAAACTATTAGTTTCTTCAGGATCATATTGCATCAAGGAAATGATTTTCAATTCAACAAACAAATAATTCAAATAGACAAAAAGAATAATAACTTAATATCAATAGTAAATAGATATTAAATAGTTATTTACGAATTTTATTAAAATGCTAAGCAACTAACGAATGAATTCTTGTCTCAATTGCAATCTTAATTGTTAAGCTAATCATAATTATTAATCATTATAGTAAAACTGATACATGATTACATATTTGATATGTAACATATGTTATTTCTCATTTATGTCAGTAATTATAAAAGTGATTTTAAAATTGATATTTGGAGAGATTTTATTATCTATATTTGTGTTGTATGTAAGTTGCAAAAAAATTTTTTGAGAAATAAAAAAATTAAAATATATTTATTTTTATATATATATATATGTAAACATAAAAATTGAATAACTTAACCTATTATCTAATGCTGTAATTATACTATGATTTCTTATACAAGCATATAGAATTTCTATTACGCATGCGTAATATAGTTATCTTTCGAATAGTTCGAAATATTACGCTTTTCGTTGTAGCGTTTTCTTTTTTTGTGTTTTAAAAGTAAATTTTTAAAAGTAAAAATAAAAAAATGTAACTATTTAGTTGTTTTGTTTCGTTTATTGCTTAAAAAAGTAACACATGAAATGGATATAAAGAAAAGATATGTAATGAGAAAGTGAGGGTGACGACGGTTTTAGGTTAAGTATGGAATAATTATGTAGATATATGAATAAATGTAAGAAAAGTGAAATCGCAGTTTTTCCTGATTTGGATAATTTATTATTAAGGTTCTAAACTTAATCAATAAATTTTTTTCGTACAAATATGTTGATTTTCAATTTATATTTGATTCGGTTTTTAACAACATAATTTTGTGCTACTTTTTTTTCAATAAAGTTCTACTTCCGCGGCTTGGTTTCTTTTCATTTCTTTTTTTAATTGTATACTTCATTTAAACGAATTAAACATGCTAGAAATTCAGTTATTGTTTTTGATATTGACGAGAATGTTTACTAAACCGTCTGATTTGAATGAAATATTACGTTTTTTAAAAATGCAATTTATGCACGTCTTGATTTCATATCGTGAACACGAAATTAAAAATGCGATTAAATCTTTTTTTTTATTACTTTTCGTTTTCTTTTTTTATTATTTAAGATAAATAAATTTCAATTCTTTCAGAATCTTCTATATTATCTTCTATTCTATAAAATAGTTTTATCAAAATTTTTTGAAAAATAATCAGTTTTATTAGTAGTTTTATTAAAAAATTCAATTTTAAATTTTAAGTTTAATTTTCATTGCTTAATGTTAGAATTTAGATTTCATTTTAAAGAAAAGTTAGATATTTAAAATTTTATTAAAATGTAATATTTTTTATTTAAAATGCAAAATATGAAATTTCATTTCTATTATTTAACGAAATAGCGAAATTCAAATTCATCTTTTTTAAAAGATCAAGATTTTGTATTGCCAAGAGCAATGCACTTGCCCTTGTCCACGTATC